TCTATGAGAAAAAGTATCGGAACAAAATTTTGATAGAATAAAAGGAGCATTGTACAATTATTTAATCATTTATTTTGTGTAACGGAAAAGTAATTGCTATTTTTTTTACACTTGCAATCTACATGCTACAAATTGAAAATCATAATTAGAGGACTCTAGATCTAAGCATCGAGCTATTTCCACTTTTTGCATACATTTTTATCACTACTATATAAAAAGACAGTTTTTGACTGTACTACATTATCATTGGTTACTCTACATACTGTTCATTTTCCTAGTTTTCACTTCTTGAGTCCTCCAAGTTTATCATTTTATACGACTTATATAAATTTGTACACGTCTTATATATATCAATTTCCATAATTTTTTCTCAATCTGCTATTTTATACAAGTCTTATGTGAAAGCAACACATTGTGTATACGAATTGAGGAATATTTTCTATGTGTTGAGCTTATACATGGCCATGAATACTGATGTATATTCATTAACTGATGTGGTCTTGAATTAATGCATCTTGCTTGCTCGATTGGTAAGTTACAATAACAAAAACAGTGGTTGCCATTCCAGGTACTATGCTAGCAAGGCCATTATCAAAGGAAACTTACAGGAGGATATAGCATTTTTTGTATTGCATCGCTTGATTGCAGAGCTTACTTGTTGTATATTTTGTCTCCAATCTGTTATGAAGAACATGCTTGTAATTGAAATTTTAGATCATGGTAAATGTAATTTCAAACATCCAGTATTTTATTGAAGTTCATTTATTTCTATTAAGGTAATGTTGATTCAGGTTGGAATGTTCAATCGGTGAATATGAAATTTTTGTTGTTCTACAAATTTCGTGCTTTTATAATGAAGTGCAAAGATTTGAGAAGTTGCTTTTGTTAAGGATAATGTTGATTCATGTTGGAATGTTAAGTGAATATGATTTTTTTGTAATTCTCCAGATTTCGTGCTTTTATAATAAAGTGCAAAGATTAGAGGAGTTTCTTTTGTTGTTTCCTTAAAGATTATAACCTTACTAGGCTTAAAATTACATTGGATTAAATATATAGTTTTTTTGCTTTCAATGCATAGATCTGCCCAGAGTCCGCGTGCAAA